TCATTTATTTAGTTTTTAGTTTTATTTATTTTTTACATAACCAATTTTTAAAATTTATTATGCATATTTTAGTATATTTTATTTTGCAATAACTTTAAAATGATTAATTTTTATTTTTTTATTTATTTATAACTTTTTTTTTTTGGTTCTGAATTATACTTTTTAATTTTTTTATAAATATTATTTATTTGTAATTTTAAAACTGATTTTTATAAAAATATTTTTTTATATTCATAAATTTATATTCATAAATTTTTTCCCTTATGTGAATTTTCTTAATTTTTTAATGTTATATTACATTAATTTTTTTAAGCTTGTGAAATTCCAATTTCTCTCAGTGCATAGCYGAGCTAATTAATTAATAATTTTTGTGCTTGAAAGCGTCTGAAACACATTTGAAACTATACCAATTTTTATTTATTTTAACGGCGCAATGATTAATTAGATGCGCCAAAAAAAATCGGAATATTTTTGTTAATTTTTTGTTTATATTCTGTTTAATAAATGTATTTTTTGTTTATTGTTTTTCTTCTTCTTCTGTTGTTGTTGTGACTCAGTGACAGGCCCTTTTAGTCTTTTTTTTTTTTTTTTTTTTTGGTCGCTGTAACAGCTTGAGCTTTTGGAGCTGAAGAGCACGCGCTCATTAGAGCGCACAGCCAGGCCAAACACTGTTGGAGACTATGTTGGAGCTGGAGCTGGAATCGGAGTTGGAGTTACGTGTGTATGGACCACACCGAGTGTATCTACATTAAACAAGGCACGATTATGATAATGTTGAGCAATTAATTGCGAAAAGCCAAAGACCTGAGCGCAGCTGCAACAAACTAAACATTCACGAGCTGTAAACTAATGTGCGTACGAGTGTGTAGTGTGTGTGTGTGTGTTTTTACTATTTTTGTTGCGTTGAAATATGTTTTTGTCACCCGTATAATTTGGCGACTCGAGCGTTAAAGCGACAACATCGTCGGCAAGAGTCGAACAGACCAAGAGCTAAGAGCCAAGAGAAGTAGAAGCCATTGCCGCACATCTTGAGGCCCAATCCCGTATAATCAGCCCAGGTGAGTGCGTACTGCCCTTTTAATTATGGGTCACAGTCAATGAGCAGCAGCAGCAGCAGCAACAGCAGCAGCCGCATTTCTTTGCATTTCCTGTCAACGGCAGCTCAATTTTCACTTTAACGCCTGTTTGCTCATGAGCTAATGGCAAGTGGTTTCGCCCTCGGGCATTGTCTAAGGGCGTCGTTTAAATTTAACTGGCTGTTGGTTAATTGTTAGCCAACCAACTGGACGCATAAATTTGTTTTATTACTCTTTTGTTTAGTTGTTTTTATTTGTAACTCTTGGCCTAAATGGCGATGCGGGCCGATCAGGTGAAAACACAAGAGAGAGAGACAACTCCACAGCCACTCCAGCTCCACCCCGACTACATCTCATCTGCCTTGGCTACTGCTCGTTCTCATTACCAAAAACCGTTCACAATTTCCGTTCTCATTGCTTTGCTAACCATGTTATTATATTCATTTGTTTATGTTTTTTTCTTCTTTCTTTATTCATTTTCTTGTTTTCTTTTTCGGCCATTGGCAATTGGAATATTTAAGAAATTGTTGGGCGGACACAGAGTTAATGAATGGCGCTCATCGATTTAACGAATCGCCCAGTCGAAACTGCAAACCAGATTTGCATTCGAAAATGATTTAATTTATGCAGCTGACTTTTGAAATTGGTCAAGTCGATCTCAATGTGAAATGTGTTAAGTACTTTATTAAGACATTGAATATGAATTAATGCAACTGAGTGAAAGAGCGTAGTTAAATCTTAAATTAAATTTTTAGATTAATATTTATATTTACCTAATACGGATTCATGCAGAATATCAATTAATTAAATATTTAGCAAGTGCCCAATGACTTGAAATAATTAGTTAGTTGAATATATGGTAAATAATATATAAAGATAAAAATATAAAAAAAAAATTGATAAAAAATAAATATAAATAAAATATTTGAAATATTTAAGTATTTAACTATGTGGCAAGTATTTGGAAATCGTTTCTTATGATTTATAATAATAATGATGAAAACAATAGGTAAAATCGCTTACACCCTAAGAAAAAAGAAAAAAAAAAAAAAAACATGTACATATACATATGTATTTAATTTATTTTAATTTTTTTTATATTAATGTTAGAATAATATGGCATGTATGAATATACCGTAAGATAATAAATTATCAACATATATATATGCATATATTACATCAAATTAATTATTATTAATATTATGAAAAAAGCAATGAAACGAAGAAATTTTGTTTTTTTGCTTAGAGGATACAATGAAATACAATAAATATATATACAATTATTTCAAATACAAAGGCTTTAGTAAAGGAAGCGGCAAATATGCTAACAAATAAAAACAAACAAAGCTTAGAAAATTCTAGAATACCCAAACTACGCATGATTTTATAACAATACTTTTAAAGCTGAAACGAAATTTGCGTACATAAAGGAAAGATAGATAGCCATTTCATTGCTTTCCTTTTAGACGTCACACAATTCAAAACAAACAAGCACACACATATACATGTTTCATTTACTTTAAATCAAGTTCAATTCAATATTTCAAGTACTTCTGCTACAATTGATTGTGCAGCGCAAATTAATATTGAAGAGAAAGAGAGCGAGAGAGAGTTGGAGATTAAATAGTTTCCAAGCTCTTCAAGCTTGCCTCAAAAGCAAAACATAAAGCAATTGATAAGCTTGAATCATAAGTAAATAATTACATTTTCCATTATAATTATTATACAACAAGAGACAAGAGATACTTCAAAAGACTCTCAACTCCCTTCAAAACTCACACACACACTCGCACACGCACTTAAGCAGATAATGAGCAATGCCGGCTGTACACACGCTCGCCACACTTTACTGAGCTAGAGTGCCTTTGAGCGTTTGTATGTGTGTGTGTGTGTGTACGTGCGCGTCAGCAGCTGTTATCCGACCAATCAGCGACGACTGGAATGAGCATGGAATAGGCAGCGTGCGCAGACACACATATACACACACGAAGAGATACTCGTATCATTTGCAATGAGCATACGAACGCCGCGTCGACAGCTGCGACGGCTGCTGCTGCTGCTGCTGCTGTCGCTCTGTCTGCAGCTCGTGGAGTTTTTGGCTGTTGATTATGCGCCGACGTCGTCGTCGTCATCAACGTTTGTGGAGTTTTTTTTTTTTGCCAAATTTATGCGGGTGGGTCTGTTCATGGGTCCAATGGGTCTCTCAGCTGCTGCTGCTGTTGTTGTTGTTGTTGTAGTTTTGTAGGTGGAGCCAGGCATACTATAATATCGTTTGATTGTTGACAAAACTTTGCTGGCTGGGCTGGCAGCGTCGTTTTTGTCTTCAGAGCCCGAAGTTTATGCTCAATTTTATGTTTTGTTGCTTTGTATCTGGCAGATACGTACATTTTGCCCTGCTGCACACACACAGAGCGCGCGCACAGGTTGCCACGGCGAAAGGTTGTCATTGTTGTCGTCGCCACCGTCGTCGGGCCATCATCATCCATTGTCACAAAACTAGCGACGGTCGTTTTACAAGTCTATTCGTCTATGCTATCTAACCGTTAGATACAGTGACAATTGTGTTAAGGGCCACGGAAGTCAACGTCATTCAATATATACAAATTTTTGATTATAATGGCCAAGTGCTGCAATTGTGAAGTGCCTACAGTTTGACAAGAGCTCAACTATTGGATAATAAATCGGGCAATATACCAGCGATACACACACATATATATACATTATATATACACTCGTGCGACTGTGGATTAAACGCATTTGTTTTGGAATATGGTTGTTTTGTAAGTTCTGTTTGGCATATAAATACATAAATATA